GATACATCAGTGCTGAACCTACTACAGTATTATTATTACAGCACAAGAATTCAAGATTAGTCTTTAGCGAATGGATGAATGCCCAAAAATTAGTCATATATGTATGTACAGGGTACCACTTTATTGGGAAGATAAGACAACACTTTCTGATATAAAAAGAAGGCTTAAATGCCGAAGGTGGACGTCAGTAGTGAGTCATATCGAGTAAAAGCTGCAAACATGAAAACGCACTGCCTGCTACAGTCTCAAGGCATTTCACATCTAGAAGGGATATGATGCATCGGCTGAGAGCAGCTGCTTGCGTCTGTATTTTGTAATGACGCAAATGCCCTCTATTGATTTCCTAACTTAGAAAAAGAGAAAATCTTTTGAACTGACACCCTGAGCGTGGAGTCCGCTCACAGCACAAGCCCAAACAGCTTCAAACAACGCCTCAGATGAGACTCTTCTCAGTTTCTCACTGATGTTCAAAGATTTGCAGCATTCTTATCTCGAGTGTCTTTTGGCTTAATAGTGCCATTGGTAATTAATAACTAGAGTATCTATGTGAGGGGCCTTATTTAAGTGCTGAGATCAAAGCAAATAAAAAAAAACCCTGATGGGATTAAGCATTAAAGAGTTTTACCAACACACCCTGCAGTGTGCGGTGCTCTACATATAAGACAGAACAATAAAGTGAGCTTGGTTTGGATTCTGTATTTCAGTGATAATGACCATGGCTATTGCTGTGCTCACACCTGCACACACACACACGCACACACACAAAAGGCAGCCATTCATTCATTTCTATTATCTGAATCTGATGTCCCTCATGGCCAATATTCATATGTTATATACATTGTGTTTCCTCCCTATTCATCTATCTCCTCATCAAACCATCTCCATTATAAAAAGAGCCCTGAATGAGCCCAGGTAGCTTTAGAGTGGGACGAACAGCAGTGTCCTTTACAATGTTTCACATCAAAGGGATTAAGTCATTCCTGCTCCACTGGTTTATCCACCCTCATGGCAAAGAGGTCCAGACATTATATTAAAAGTTTAATCAACAGTAAGTAGAAAAGTGTTCTCGGTGCGGGACGTCCGAGGGGCTTTGAAACACTCTAATCCCTCCATGCGGGAAGGGAGGGGGTGAATCAGTCCACTGCTGTGTGAATGTGTCCTTGTAGGGCAGAGCTGAAAGTTGTGGAACTTTCCAGGAAGGGGAGATGACGAGGTTAACCCTGGCGGTGACAGGGACCTCAGATACAGTATGTGGCCTTAGAATGGCTCAGGGTTGGGCAGGTTTTGATCTCCCAACATTTGCAAATAGGAAAAGGGCACCTCTCTCATACGTGCAGGCCAAGAACACCACAAGGCAGAGTATGTTCCCTAATAAATCACTTCTGCTGAGTGCACACAATCACCTAAATAACATTTATTTAATGGCCTGCAGACCAACACTGGGTGTAGGGTTGCTTAGAGGCGCACAAAAAACATGGCCACCACTATAACTTAGAGTGATATACTGAAGCGGTCAGGCTGACAAGAAAAAAACAAACACAAGTCTGTCAAAGATTTCGCAAAGAATTTACGCAGGATACAATGATGAGGAATTAATAGCTATCCCCCTACCTTGATCAACCGTGGAAAGCTGCCTTTTCTCTCCTTTAACAGCTTATCCAGCTTATTTCTGGTGCCATTCCTGTCCAAAGGAAAAATCAAAGTTTAATATGACTGCACATATGCATGGAATTATTTAATGATGCCAATACGTATTGCCTCAGAGTTCAAGAATAAATCTCTGGTAGAAACCAGCTAATGTTGCACTTGCTGCCATTAACCTTGACTGAAGCATATAAAAAAAACCCACGATGTTTAGATGACATGAATTTGTGAGCTGTTTTCTCTTATAGACAGTCACAGCTGTAAGACAAGAGCCTTTTCCATTGCATAAACTACACTGACACCTTCTGGGCATCCCTTTGGTTTGTCTTATATTAAACACATTGAGGAGTGCCTGTTTTTATGGAGGTGTCAACTCAGTCAAGACAGTTTGCTGAGCTACCAATAGGATAAAGTGTCTCATTTAGTAAATATGTAAACTAATCACCGGATGATAAATAACTTTTGGCTCTTCCTGACGAAAAATAAACATCTATTAGGCTGTTTCATTACAGTGACTTGTTACTAATAAAGAATAAGACATTATTTATTATCCACAAACTTTTAGAGTAGAGTTTTAGAGAGTATTGTTCATTTGCAAAAACAGAGAAAGAACATTAAAAAGAATAACACCAGTTTGATTAATATTCACAGGATTTAGGAGAAATGGAAATATCTGTTTTTGCTAATGAATCTCTCCTACAGCACTGACCTTTTCTCTGATGATTTGCTCGGCGCGCTCATGGTGAACTGATCAACAAGGTGGCAGTGATGAAGCGGTCATAGTTAGTCCGACCCGTGATAATGACAGACAGACAGATAGACAG